ACACACACTGTGGCTCAAGCAGTAGAATGCCAGTCTTGAGTGGATAAAGCTGTGTCCAGACCCTAAATTGAACGAACACACACACACACACACACACACACACACACACACACACACACACACTGTGGCTCAAGCAGTAGAATGCCAGTCTTGAGTGGATAAAGCTGTGTCCAGACCCTAAATTGAACGAACACACACACACCCCCGAATTGAATGAACACATACACACACATCCTCTGAATTGAAGTCACACACGTCACTGCTATCTGCTACCTTTCCTCTTTAAAAAAGAAAATAATCTGGAATCCAGTCTCCTTTAAGTCTAAGAGGCTTACAGTTTTAAGGGACAGAATGGGTGGGGGGAGAGTAGGTTACTACTGGCTGCCACTTGTGTCTTGATGATAAGAGGGCAAAGTGGATGAGTACTGAGAAGCAGTTTGATTTATCTATTAGCAGAGCACTATGGACAGAGCTTTCTCATCCTTGCCAATGAACATATGCACAAAGCTTCATATGCTCTTGTTAAAATAATGCAAACCTATCCATAGACACTGCTCAATGAAAGATCCTTTAATTTCAAGCAATTTCATTAGCTTGGCTCATGATCATTATCAGAAACATACCAGTACTGAGTCTGAATGCAGGACTTCTCACTTAACTCAGCTGACATACTACCGCATGAGCCATGCTTCCAGCCTAGCTTTTTTTGCTGGTTATTTTGGAGATGGGATCTCTCAAATATCTCTTGGCTTCAAACAGCAGGTCTCACCTCCCTGAGTAGCTAGAATTACTGGTGTGAGCCACTGGCCCACAGTTAGAGACATTCTTTTTTTAAGACTAGTGTTAAGAGGCAAAGGTGATTTTTAAGTAGTGGGGTGTTAATGGTTTGATTTTGAAATATCTCCCACAGGTTCCTGTATTGAGCTTGGTCTCCAGCTGGTGATGGTATTTTGGGAAGTTCTGGAAATTTTAGGAGGCTGGGTCTAACTATAGGAAGTAAGTTCTTAGGGGGGTGGTATTCTTGGGTGCTATATGTTGATGGGCAGGGTTGACTCCCTCTTCCTGACTGCAGTCAGGTAAGTAATCCTATTTCACATTGCTACTACTATAGGCTGAGAATCCATGGAATTAGGGACCATGGACTGAAGCCTTGAGCCAAAATAAACATTTCTGTATTTATGTTGTTTATGTCAGGTATTTTGTCTCAGTGGTAACAAATGAACACTGGGAGATTGAAGCAAGGTTTTTGTGTTTTGTTTTGTTTTGTTTTTTAATCTGAGAAAAGCTGGTGGTTTATGCCTGTAATCCTAGCTACTCAGGAGACTGAGATCTAATGATCACACTTCAAAGCCAGCCCCAGCAGGAAAGTCCGTGAAACTCTTATCTCCAATATACCACCAGAAAACCATAAGGGGTGCTGTAGCCTAAGTGGTAACTAGCTGAAGAGCTGAGGCCCAGAGTTCAAGCCTCATGACCGACAAAACAAATTACTGACTTTATGTAAAACGTTTTGTAATTTAGGGTATATAAAATGGAAGACAAAAGTGAGAGCTTAATTGTATCTTCATTTTTGTTTGTATTACTTTTATGAATTGATTAGTTCATGAGTCTGTTCACAGCCTCAGTCCTACTTGGCATTATCAATTATCAGTCCTTTTTTCTTTGCCAATTTGATTAGTGAAACAAAATGTTGGTTTTATCATTTATATTTTCACAGTTACTAATGAGACTAAGAGGCAGGATAACGTAGCAGTTAAGAGCTGTGAGTTCTCTGAGTTAGAATCTTACTTAGCCACTTACTGATAAAGGTAGTTTATTTTCTTATTTTCACTCTCCTCATCTGTAAAGAGGGATGATAGTTTCTACTGTATACATTTATGAGGATTAAGGTACTTCATGTAATACCCAACATATGAAAAGCTGTGTTGTATGTTCACATATTCATGTGTTCAGAAAAGTATTCTGATACAGTACTTTTCACATCCCTTTCCTACATTCATACTGAAATATCTCCTTTTTCTTATTTTGTAGTGTTTTGGATATATATAGTACAGGTAACTTCTATACTATGTGTGTGCGCGTGCACATGTACGCCGGTCGGTCCTGGGGCTTGAACTCAGGGCCTGGGCTGAATTTTTTTGTTCAAGGCTAGTGGCTCTACCACTTGAGCTATATAGCTCCACTTCTGGCTTATTTGGAACTTAATTGGAGATGAGTCTCACAGACTTTCCTGCCTGGGCTGGCTTTAAATCTTGATCCTTGGTTCTCAGCCTCCTGGGTAGCTAGGATTATAGGCGTGAGCCTCCGGGATCCAGCTCAAATTTAAAAAAAAGTTTTAAGGCAGCAAATTGAGGGTAGTTTACCATTCCATAATGTGATCAAGTGGCAATTAAGTGGTGGTGGTGGTGGTGGTGGTGGTGGTGGTGTGTGTGTGTGTACTCATGGAAGTAAGTATATAAGAGAATTGGGCTCTAGTGTGCAGTAACACTCAGTTGTAAAGGTATTATGGGATGAACACTCTTGAATATAGTTGCTGGGAAGGAACTAGAGTCGAATTTGGCAAAAAGCCAATAAGTGGAGGCTCAAATAGTTGAGCCGCCAGGCTTAAATGGATTAAAAAAGCCATGCCAGGCACTGGTGTCTCATTCCTATAATCCTAGCTATGCAGGAGGCTGAGATCTAAGGATCATGGTTCAAAGCCAGCCCAGACAGTAAAGTGTGAAACTTTTTTTTTTAATCTCCAATTAACCACAAAAAGCCAGAAGTGGAGCTTTAGCTCAAGTGGTAGGGCTGGCCTTGAGCACAAAAGCTCAAGGATAGCATCCAGGCCCAGAGTTTAAACCCCAGTACCAGCACATAGACACTTTAAGTCTTGGGGCTTTGTCTTCCCCAGGCTGGTTCAAAAAAAAGTCTTAGATCTCAGCCTCCCAAGTAGGTAGGACTGACCTATGAGCCACTGGCATCCAACCAAGTATTTTGATAGCGTCTTTGGAGTAAGTTTCAGGAGAAAAGGGAAACAAAGATTACTCTTTCCCCTCCGCCCCCCCCCCCCGATCCCTCTTCTCTTGTACTGGGAATTGGAGCTAGACAGATTTCTAGCTTATGCATGCTGGGAAAATGTGCTATTGCCTAAACTATACCAGTAGCCCCTAAAAGCATTCTTGTATGTTTTTGTGGTATAATGCCATTGGGCCATCATCAGTTTTTGAAGTTTGAATAAGGTGATGCAGCTGTAACTTTTCACTTTCCCCTGTCATTTATATATTCACCTTCTCTTGACTGGATACATTTTTGTTACTATATTTGAACTGTAACTTAATATATAGGTCCTTAAAATCTAAAACAAATGAATTTTTTTCTTGTAGGTTATGCAATGGTCTCTGCAAGATGGTTTATTCTTGAATTGGAGCTTTTTAAGACTGACAAATGCTGGTACTTCATCTTCTATAAGTGGACTATAATTTCTTTTCTCAAGACAACTACATAAGCAGACAAAATTGCAAAGATCTGCCCTGTGTCGAGTATGACAGCCACGACTCGTGGCTCTCCAGTAGGAGGGAATGATAACCAGGGCCAGGCTCCTGATGGACAGTCTCAGCCCCCCCTCCAACAGAATCAGGTAGGATGTTAAAGACAGTAGTTAAAGCTGTATTGGTATGTCTACTGGTGGGGTAGGTACTACTTGAAGAAGCATATTCTGAATGATTTTGTAAAGTAGCTACTAGATGGTCATTTTTAAGGGTTTTTTTTGTCCTAAACTAGGACTCAAACTTGGTATCTGACGCTTTTGCTCATTGGCTAGTTCTCTACCAACTGGAACATACCTCCAACCCCTCATTTTAAGTCTTGTTGATGAAAATTAAACCATAGGCCTCACAATAATAAGATAGTTCAAAATAAATAAATAAAGCTTGTGTTGTAGATATTGATGCTTTGGTATCTAGCCCATCTTTTTCTGGTGTTTTATGTACAGTACTCATAAAATTAAGTACTTAAGCCCTCTTCCAATTCTAGGGGAAAGCAATGTAATATTTGCTCATTGTAGCCTATTATATCCCCTGTATATTGTCAATTTACTGTAAAAAAATTTTTTTAACAGCATAAGCTCAGTCATACTGCTAGCATTCAAATTTCAGCTTTATACCATACTAGCTTTATGACTCCAGGTAAATTATGTAAACCGTTTTTCGTCTTTTCAAGGGGATTATAATGCAGCTTTACAGCATTGTTATAAGGATCACATGAAATGATGCTTACAAAGAACTAGAAACAGATTTTAGTATCAAGGTTTTAGACTAGTCTTAAAGCTCAAAAGTAACATGCTTTTTCTATTTTCCGGATCAATTTTGTATAAGGTTTCTGTACAAATTTTTTCCTGTTAATTGTCTGGGAGATATTACTGGTGGAATTTTCTGTCCTGAGATTTTACTTGTGGAAAGGTTTTACTTTTTCTTTGAATTTTCTGATTTCTGATTTTTTGGTAAGTTGTGTTCTTCGAGGAATTTGTCTGTTTCATTAAAATTATCAAGTTTATTGAAGTATAATTAGTGTCTTGGGGCCTATGCAGTATCTCTTTATCTCTGATACTGCTAGTTATGTTCTCTCTCCTGATGAATCTTTCTAGAAGCTTTCCAACGTCTAATTAAACCTTCTCCAAAAAACTTTGTTTTGGCTTTGATAACTGACCCAATGCATAGACAGACAGACAGACAGACAGACACACACACACACACACACACACACACACACACGTGTTTTTATTTCTACCCTTATTTCCACATTATTTTTACTTTGGATTCAGTGTGATATTTTTCTAATTCCCTAAAGTGGAAGTTAGATAATTGATTTCAGCCCTCTTTTTTAACATACATAGTTTTAATATTGCAAAATATTGAGCTGAATAAAGCAAACATTAACATTTGTGATAGAGCTCAAATACTTTTTAGATACCTTAGATGAGTTGTTCAGATGTTATTCCTAAACATGCATCTTATAGTTGATACATGGTTTTGTTGAATTTGAATAAATTTTAAGCCAAAAAATGTTATTGTACTTACATTTGTTATATGAGGATAATTTCTTATTGTTACATAGTAGGTAGATGATTCCTATCATTAGTCTGACTTCTTTTTCTTTCTACCCTTTGTCTGCCATTTTAGAGAAATGAACAAGCTAGATTCCCAACCCAAATAAGTATGTCAATTTTGTTTTTCAGTTTTCATGTTTCGTTTTTTGTTTGTTTGTTTGTTTTTGACTGGGGGTTTGAACTTGTTACAATGGCAAGATACTGCTGACCCCCCACCTCCAGCCCTATTTTTCACTGATTATTTTTGGGATAGGGTCTTGCCACTTCTAAGGCACACTCCTGTCATCCCTGGAATCACAGGGCCATTCCACTGTGTTCAGCTTCCTTTACTTGGATACAATCTTGTGAACTGTTCTGGCTGGGCCAGCCTGGCACTACAGTTCTCCCAGTGTCAACCTCCCATGTAGTTTAAGGTAATAAATGCATGCAACCTTGTCCAGATACGGGATAATAAGGGATCTTTTTGCTGCCCAGCTGACTTCTGCCCCAGCCAACCCTGAACCTTGATCTTCCTGTTCTCAGCCTCACAAATAGTATGAGCCACCAGTGCCTAGCTTCCATTTCATACACACACCCCTTTTTATTTTTATTTTTTGCCAGTACTATGGCTTGAACACAGGGCCTCATGTTCTCCTGAAAGCACTCATGGTGCTCTAGTAGTTAAGTGTTCCAGTATTTTCCCCTCTTTCTTTAGCATTTTATTATTTGCATTATACATGGAATTCTAACCCTTTTTTGCAATGTTTGTAAAAAATAACCTTTTCTTTACCTTAGATTTATTTTTAATAATTACTAGAGCATACATATATATAGTATACATTCATCCATACATTACACACACACACACACACACACAAACGCACGCACACACACTTGATGGTATAGTGAATAATTTTAGGCTCTGTAATCAAGCCCACTGGAAAAAATTAAGATGAACATATCTAGACCAATATGACTATTAATTTCTGTACAATGCCAACACAACATGGTAAACTGGAATACTCTTTTCCAAAGTAACAACACAGCTGACCTTTTAAAATATATACTTGATTTTTAGAGCTTGAATTTAGAATACTAACAGAATATATTATGTATTATATACCCATTTTTTCCTACTTAAGGATGACTAAGTTTAAAACAAAAGAACAGAAACAAATTATATTCTATTTTTTTTTATAGAACTGCTCACAGTAGAATTTCTCACTTTTGCTTTGGTATTCTTTGCTTCTTAATGGTAGGATTTTAGTTATTTTACTAGTTTTAATATTTTATTGGCCATAAAGGAACCAAAGCATTACTTACTGCCCAACTTAGGGTGCCTGTGCCCCTGCTCATGTTCTCTCCATCCCTCTCTCCCTTTCTCCTCTCCTTCCCTATCCCTTTCCTCCCCTCTTTCTCCCTCCTCCCTCTTTCCCCAAGTGCCAGGTTAATTCAGGGCCTCACACTTACCAGGCTTGCTTGGTTGGCTGGTACTCTACCACTTAATTGAGCCACCCCACTAGTCTGGCCAGTTTGGCTTTTTGCTTAAAATTTTGTCTCACAAACCTTTCTGTCCTGCCTAGCAAAGACCCTTCATCTCTCAGCTTCCTGAATAGCTAAGATTGTTGGCATATACCACCAGCACCTGGTCAGGACTTGTTTTTTCTTTTATTTTGTGCCAGACCTCAGGCTTGGGACCTGGGTACTGTCCATTAGTATTTTTGCTGAAAGCTAGCACTCTACTACTTGAGCCACAGCTCCACTTCCAGCTGGTTTTTTTGTGATTAATTGGAGATAATAGGCTCATGAACTTTTCCTCCTGAGCTGGCCTTGAACCATAGTCCTCAAATTTCAACTTTCTGTGTAGCTAGGATTATAGGTGTGAGCCATTAACACCTGGTAGGATATGAAAGAAAATTTGGGACTCTGGCAAGCAGTAAAACATAGTGGTAATGGTATTATGGGGTGAATATGGTTGCTGGGAAGGTACTAGAATAGAATTTGTCAACATATGCCAATAGTCTTGTAGGGTTGTTTTACACTGGTCTTAGTAATTAAATTTCTAGGATCCTATCCTAAGAAAAAAGTTGAATTTTTTGACCGGACGCCAGTGGCTGACACCAGTAGCCTGTAATAATAGCTACGCGGGAAGCTGAGATGTGAGGATCAGGGTTCAAAGCCAGCCCAAGTAGGAAAGTCTATGAGACTCTTATTTCCAATTAGCTAGCAAAAAGTGAGAAGTGAAGGTATGGCTCAAGTAGTCAGTAGAGTGCTAACCTTGAGCAAAAAAGCTGATTTCAAGCCGTAGGACCAGTACAATTTTTTTTTTTTTTTTTTGTTGATCGTGGGGCTTGAACTCTGGGCCTGGGCGCTGTCCCTCAGCTCTTCAGCTCAAGGCGAGCGCTCTACCACTTGAGCTACAGCGCCACTCGGTTTTCTGGTGGTTTATTGGAGATAGGAGTCTCACGGTCTTTCCTGCCCGGGCTGGCTTTGAACCACGATCCTCAGATCTCAGCCTCCTGAGTAGCTAGGATTACAGGCGTGAGCCACCAGCGCCCGGCTACAAAATTTTTTAAAAGGTAGAAACTTGTTAATTTATAGAATTTGATGTTTTATATTTACACAAGAATTTCTATATCACACTCACATTATGGGAAGTAAGCAGAGAGGAAGTATGAGTTGTGATTAAGGCACAAACTTTAGAGTAAACCTGAATTCAGCCTGACAGTTTGAGCTGTGTGACTTTACAGATGGAACTTGTTTTCTTATTATATTTATATACTTCAGTAGGGTGTTGAATGTTCAGTGAAATTATTTTAAATCATCAAAGATTGAAACATAAAATTTCAATATTATCTTTGTTTATAGTGTTTACAAAAAACTTAAAATTTACATTAATCTGTTGGTGTTTGAATTATTGAAAAATTGTAAATTATAGAAACTTAAATCTGGAATATTTGATTTGTATCAAGACTTCATCGCCTGATTCTTCCAATGAAAATTCCCCGGCAACTCCTCCAGATGAGCAAGGTCAAGGTGATGCCCCACCACAGATTGAAGATGAGGAACCTGCATTTCCACATACCGACTTGGCAAAGTTGGATGATATGATCAACAGGTCAGTTCATTGTGTTTGGTTTTGTATAATATGTGCAATATACAAGAAAAGTTTCTCAGTGTAGTGTCTTATGGTAGTTAAGAAACTGAGAAATCTGAAGAGGAATGCCATAGTAACTGCACTGCTGCCTTAATGTTTTTCACATGTTTGTCACTACCAAGTACTTTGTAGCCATACTTTGTAACCATTCTTAATGGATTTAGTAAGTGAATGGTGGCTATCCAGAGGGATAAGGGAAACTTTGTCATTGATGAGTTAGTTCACTGGTTGACTTTAATAACTGGTATGGCCCTGAAGTTATGAGGAGACTGAGTTCCTTAGAGCCTGCCCTTTGTGAATCCTTGAGAGTGCAGGATCTTTTTTGCATGTGTGTATACATGTAGTAGGGATCAGTCCCAGGGTCTGGGGCTTCTTAGGCAAACACAGGCATACTACCTACCACTTCAACTGTTTGCCGCCCTGCAAAGGGTGTTTTTAAATATAAATAAAAACAATGAAGAAAGTAGTTTACATTTGTAACCAGTAAATTGTTCAGTAACAGGATACCTCTTATTAAAATGTGGGGATATTTGGGGGGTTTTGCCAGCCCTTAAGACAAAGAATGAAAAGAAGAGGAGGCTGCCTTTTCTGGGTATGGTGAATAAATTGGGTAATGATAAGGAGGAAGTACTTGGAAAGGCATGGAGAACTAGATAGTTTGGGTAGCCCTGGCAAAAGAGATGGGGTGCTACTTGAGTGTAGGCTGCCTCCTTGATTAAGGGAAAGTGGTACTTTATGGAGATCACAGACTCACTTAGTCTTCTGAGAAAGGTAATGCATTATGAGACATAATCAGCCTTGACTCCTAAATTTTTTTGCTCTTTGTGAAGAAGTTCAAGGCTGTGTCATCTAAATCCTGAAAGAATCCATTCTTGTGAAATTATACTAGACATCCATAATGCCTAATTCAGTTGATTTTTGTTATCATAGTAATCTCATACTGTGTTATTGAATTAATTTAGTTTTCTTCCCTCATTGCTGAATCTTTCTTTGGTGATGACCCTTAATTACACAAAACAGATATTCTGCCAGCCTTGCATGAGGCTTAATGCTATTTTAGTATTAATATTTGTATATTGAGATAAATTGTTATAATTTGTACCTCATTTATAGTACCAATAGTACAATCAGTAAACCTCTCTTTATTATATAAAACCTGTCAGGCCTCGATGGGTGGTTCCTGTCTTGCCGAAAGGGGAATTAGAAGTGCTTTTAGAAGCTGCTATTGATCTTAGTAAGAAAGGTAAGTTCTACTACTATGCTTCCTCTTTGCTTTGTTTCTTTTGTTTCCCCTTTTTTTTTGAACAGGTATTGGGGCTTGAACTCAGCACCTTACTCACTTTTACCTGTCTTTTCTACTCAAGGCTGGCACTTGAGTCCCACCTCCACATTTGGCCTGGTTAATTGTAGATAAGAGTGTCTCAGATTTGTCTACCTGGTATGGCTTTGAACATTGATATTGATACTTAGATTGTAGCCCACTGAGTAGCTAGAATTATAGGTGTGAGCCATCAGTACCCAGCTATTGTGCTGTCCTTAAGATATGCTACTAAAGTTTCACTTTGTCCTTGAAAATTTCATCTATCAATAAACACTTTCATCAGCCGGGCACCGGTGGCTCACGCCTGTAATCCTACCTACTCAGGAGGCTGAGATCTGAGGCTCTCAGTTCAAAGCCAGCCCGGGTAGGAAAGACCATGAGACTCTTATTTCCAATAAACCACTAGAAAACCGAAAGTGGCGCTGTGGCTCAAGTGGTAGAATGCTCGCCTTGAGCTGAAGAGCTAAGGGACAGCACCCAGGCCCAGAGTTCAAGCCCCATGACCAACAAAAAACAAAACAAAGCAAAACACTTTCAATGGTTTACAAGTATGGCTTATATCCTTTCAGCAGCCTTCAAAGGTGTTTATGAATTCCAGTGTTAGACAAGAAATATGTGTGTGTCATTCCTGGGGTTGAATTCAGGTCAAGGGTGCTATCCCTGAACTTTTTTGATCACTGTAGCACTCTGCTGATTGAGCCACAGCTCCACTTCTGAATTTCTTTGGGGGGAGTGATTAGTTGGAGATAAGAGTCTCAGACTTTACTGCCTAGGCTGTCTTTGAATTGTGATCCTCAGATCTCAGCCTCCTGAGTAGCTAGGATTACAGGCGTGAGCCACTGGCACCTGGCTTCACATGTTTTAAATACACAGAAAGTACATGGGCTAGGAAGGTGGCTCAGTGGTAGAGCGCTTGCCTTGCATGCATGAGGCCCTGGGTTCGATTCCTCAGCACCACATAAGCAAAAAGGAAAAAAAAGCCGGAAGTGGTGCTGTGGCTCAAGTGGTAGAGTGCTAGCCTTGAGCTGAAGAGCTGTGGGACAGCGCCCAGGCCCAGAGTTCAGGCCCCATGACTGGACCCCCCCCCCAAAAAAAAGAAAGTACATGGTTTTTCCTTACAAGATTTGAAAGATAGGATTCTATGGTTAAAAAGTTATAAAAAGGAGGAGGCAAAGTAGGAGAAAAATGAGGGAAGGGGTAATAAGTTTAACAAGTACTTATTACTTTATGTAACTATAACCCCTCTCTGTACATTACCTTGACAATAAAAAATAAAATTATCCAAATGTAAAAGTGTAACATTGGAATTAGTATTTTTATTCATTTACTTTGGTCTACTATAGGTACAGTTCTTTCAGCATATTGTAGAGTGTTATAGAACTAAGGAAGCTGAGATCTGAGGATCACAGTTGAAAGCTAAGCCAGAATAGACAAATCCAAGAGACTCTTATCTCCAGTTAACCATCAAAAAGTTGAAAATGGATATGTTGCTTAAGTGATAGAGCCAAGCTCTCATGCCAAGCTCTCGTGCCAGCACACACATATACACACAGAGTAAAGGTACTCTAAATTCTTTTTGTTGGTGATGGTGGTGGAGGTCATGGGGCTTTTGAACTTGCAGCCTCAGCACTATCCCTAAGCTCTTTTGTTCAAGGCTAGCATTCTATCACTTTGAGCCACAGAACTACTTCTGGTTTTCTGGTGGTTAATTGGAGATAAGAGTCTCACAGACATTTCTTGCCTGGACTGGCTTAGAACTGCAATCCTCAGATCTCAGCCTCCCGCATAGCTAGGATTACAGGTATGAGCTACCAGCACCCAGACTCTAAACTCAGTTTAACACATCAGAGATTGAAATAAAAAAGCAAAGTTCATTTTTAAATACTTAAAGTATATTAGCCTTTTGTTATTATAACAAATACCGGAAACAATCTGCTCATAAAGAGAAAAAGGTTATTTTGGTTGACAGTTTGGGAGATTTCTTTACATAGTTGATTGACCCAGTTGTGCTTTTAAGCCTGTGATGACTCAGTACATCATGGCAAGGAGTATATGGTAGGGTAAAGCTCCTCACCTTCTGGTAGCCAGGGAACAAAAAAGAGGAAGAAATTACAGTTCTTTAATTGCTTTTGAAAGTGAGGGCACACTCCTCACTGACCTAAGACTTCACACTAGTCTACCTCTTAAACATTTTACTACCTCTATAGTACTACAGACCAAGGCCTTTGGGGACACATCCAAACCATAGCACCTTGGATGTGTTATAACTAGTAACCACTATAATAAAATTAACATCTTTAGTACCTTGCCCTGGGTCTATCCTCCCTGGCAAGAAATATCATTTACCTTACAATAAACGTTCTCATGTTTAAAGAATGTCTTATGCGACACCATGTTGAAAAACAAACTTTACAATTTGGGGTGGAGGGAGTGTAGTTGTAGTGGTGGGAGGGAAGGGATGGTAGGGGAAAAACAAAGGAGGAGGTAACAATGCTTGAAATGTACTTATTACCTTGCTCATGTAACTGTAAGCCCTCAGTACAGTATTTTTACAATAAAAAATGTATTAAAGAATGTCTTATGCTTTGTTAATCTTGTAAGAAAATAAAAATAAATTATAAGATTACAATGGAGCCAGGCGCCAGTGACTCATATCTGTAATCCTAGCTACTCAGGAGGCTGAGATAGGAGGATTGTAGTTCATAGCCAATCTAGACAGCAAAGTCCTTGAGATTCTTATCTCCAGTTAACCACCAAAACCCAGAAGTGGAGCTGTGGCTCAAATGAGCTGATGGACAGTGCCCAGACCCTGAGTTCAAGCCCCAGAACTAGCCATCAAAATGTTTATTTTTCTTCCTGAATCTAGTTTCCTTTTTGACATAAGAACCTTGAAATAACAAGTTTTTTTTTTGTCAGTGAACAATTTCTTTTCTTTTTTCTTTTTTTTTTTGGGCGGGGGGTCCAGTCGTGGGGCCTGAACTCTGGGCTTGGGCGCTGTCCCTCAGCTCTTCAGCACAAGGCTAGCGCTCTACAACTTGAGCCACAGCACCACTTCCGGCTTTTTTCTTTTTGCTTATGTGGTGCTGAGGAATCGAACCCAGGGCCTCATGCATGCAAGGCAAGCGCTCTTCCACTGAGTCACTATCCCAGCCCCTCAGTGAACCATTTCTAATACTTAAACTTTCATCATATAATTGAACATTGTAAAACAGTGTTTATTAGCATAGTTACAGGGGAGAATTTTATTGTTTCATTTTCACACATTTACACTATATACCAATAAACGTCTTCCTCTGTCACTCTCCCCCAAAAAGCATCCATCCCTAACAGGTTTTTTATTCGATTTTCATAATTGGAAATAATTTATTTTAACATTGTTCAATTTCCTTTTAACAATTATTTTTGTTTTTATTTTCCTCCCCTCTACTTAGGCCTTGATGTTAAAAGTGAAGCATGTCAGCGATTTTTTCGAGATGGGCTAACAATATCATTCACTAAAATCCTTACAGATGAAGCAGTGAGTGGCTGGAAGTTTGAAATTCATGTGAGTTTGCTTTTGACTTTAAGTAAGCAAATTTATATAGGTGAGAAGGACAGTTAAAGAGGGGGATTTGGATGCATATTTGGCCCATTAGTTGAATTAGAGTATAAAATGAATCTTTGAAAATAATTTTTATAAATTGTTGTTTACTAAATATAACATGGTCATTTACAAGGAGCATAAGATCTAGAGTTAGAAAACTAAAGCTTAATTTGTCTCCTGGGTTTTCAAGTGCCTCGTGACCTTAGGCAAGTCATCATATTTCATCCAAAATGCAAGGTGCATTGTAAGGTGCACCATAATTTTATGTACCTTTGACCAAACAGGGAATATAACACATTTCAGAAAGACCAGTGTAAATGGTCTTTGTAGAGGTGAATAAGAAATGTGTATTTGGACCTTGGCACCTGGCAGAGGCAGGGGAAAATTAGCTGAAAATTTATACTCGCCAGAAGACAAAGAAGCTATAAAATACCTAAAAGACGTAAGTTGAGATTCTAGGGATCTTACAAAGTAAAATAAATAAATGTATGTGTTATATGTGTTTCTTAGATTGATAAAATGTCATAATTGCTCCAATGCTCTTTCTTGTTTTATAGTTATAAGTTGTGAAGCAAATGATGTTTTTGTGGTTTGTGAACTTTTTCAACTACTACTGGCATAAAGTCCCAACAACTTCTGGTTTATAATATAATTTTATAAGTTTAGAAGTGAAAATCTGAAAGTGGTGTTATTGAAGATAGTAAATCTACTCCATCTTGGATAATAGACATGTTTAGATTTTAGAATTGTTGCTTCTGGTATATAGATTCCAAAGAGAAAAAATTGAAATTGTATCTTGTCTATAGACATAGAACAGAAATAATTGATGACTTATGGCACCCACTTCTCAAGCCACAGACTATGGCTTTTGAAAGTAGCTAACATGTAAATAAATTATGGTATAAGTAAATGCTCATATTTGTTGTTTGGTGGTTAGTTTGATCCCAGTACTAGTGAAATTATACTCCAAGCAACCAATATAGAAAGGTCGTTTAATATTAAGATAAAAATGATTAGGATTGTGTTTATTTGAAATTGCAATCTCTAAATTACCTTTCTTCCATATATAACAGAGATGTATTATTAACAATACTCATCGCCTGGTGGAGCTATGTGTGGCCAAGTTGTCCCAAGACTGGTTTCCACTTCTAGAACTTCTTGCCATGGCCTTAAATCCTCATTGCAAATTTCATATCTACAATGGTACACGTCCATGTGAATCAGTTTCATCAAGTGTTCAGTTACCTGAAGATGAGCTCTTTGCTCGTTCTCCAGACCCTCGATCACCAAAAGTGTGTTGGTTTGTTATTTTCAAATTAAATATTACAGTTGTTGTGCTCTTCCACAGAATTTTTAAGTAATCTGAACCTCCTGTTAACATGACAAAGAGTAATTTTTTATTATTCTTAAAGTGATTCTGTATTACTTTATGGTTGGACTCTTTATTTTGTGTAAAGGTTGGTATACTGTTTCTGTGTTGAAATGTCTGACAGATGTGGTTTGAGATTTGAATGAAAATTAAGCCATTGGTGGCTCACAACTGTAATCCTAGCTACTCAGGAGGATGGAATCTGAGGATTGCAGTTCAAAGCCAGCCTGGGCAGGAAAGTCCATGAAGCTCTTCTCTCCAATTTACCACCCAGAAAACTGGAAGTGGTGGTGTGGCTCCAAGTGGTAGAGCACTAGCCTTGAGCATAAAAAGCTTGGGTATAGTGCCCAAGCCCTGAGTTCAAGCTCCACAACTGACAAAAAAGGAAAAGAAAATATGTAAGATTGGTAGCATTCTTGAATAGCTGTAACATTTTAGTTCAGTGCTTATGGCCTTTTTTAAAACAGAGAAGGGGATTACTTGTTTAATTAAATAAAAACTTCAGCTGGTTCCCTAATCTTAACTGCTCAGGAGGCTGAAATCTGAGCATCTCTGTTCAATGTCAGCCCAGGCATGAAAGTCTTTTGTGAGCCTCTTATCTCCAATTATCTCCAATTGAGCTGTGGCTCAAGTGGTAGAGTGCTAGCAGGAACAGCACCCAGGCCTTAAGGTAAAGCCCTACAACCACAAAAAAAGACCAGATGTTGATCATAATCATTTTTCAGTTTTAGATTTTGAGAAAAAAATCAGGTATATCCTATAAACCCTTAGTAATATGGAAAGAAAGTAAAATTACGTAAATTAATAAATGAAAGCAAGCTAGTTAATCTTTCAAATCTAAAATATGTATGTTCTGTATATAATTGTCCTATGTCAGTCTAAACAGACTACTGTATTTGAAAATGCATCCTTAAAGCTTGATATGGTAGCATATGCCTATCATCCCAGAACTTGGGAGGCTATGATAGAGGGATTGAGTCCCCTTAAATAACAATAAGCCAGGGGGCTGGGAATGTGGCTCAGTGGTAGAGTGCTTGCCTCACATGCATGAGGCCCTGGGTTCGATTCCTCAGCACCATATAAGCAAGGGAACAATGCTGGAAGTGGCGCTGTGGCTCAAGTGGTAGGGCACTAGCCTTGAGCTGAAGAGCTGAGGGACAGTGCTCAGGCCCAGAGTTCAGCCCCCATGACCAACAAACAAACAAAACAACTCTTCTCCCTAAAAAAGACTAATCAGAAGAAAAAATAATGATAACTGAAAAATTAAAAAAAAATAATATTCTTAACCCAGAGATCAAAGGAGGGCAGAAGAGTTTATAAGAGAAGAGGGAATATAGCATGTAGACCCAGAAGCTAAAGCCAGTACTATTGATGAGGTGCTAAGGGAGGAGAAAAGGAGTCCTCTTTACCTTGATGGCTTCCTAAATACCTGATGAAGGATGTGAAGAGAGACCATGTTTAGATAGGACCAAGGTCCTCTAACATTATGAGATGGTTATGACATGCAGTGCTAGTCATGACTAGGTGATAGGATTATGATAAAACAGAAGCACAACTAGGTCTCTGTGGTATTAGCTAAGGAAACAGTGTAATATTGTGGGTCTTTCAGAGAATTACATTTTTCTAACCAGTCACAAAAATTATAGGTCCTATACACAGTGAGTGCTTTGTTAAAAGCAGAAAATAGCTGGTATTTTCTGATATTATGTGTTGTTGCCACTAGGTGGATTATTTTTTCCTTGAGTAAATCAGATTAATGTCAAAATGACAGTCTTCAGGATCAAATTTTTTATACCTACCTGTATTTATTTTTTATTTTAAATGGGTCAGTAAATATACAACTTAAATTCACAGGGAATAACTGGATTTTTATCATGGCAAACAAAAAATTTTTGGATGACTTCTCATTGAAGGTCATTTTTAAAATATGAAGTCAAGTTTTGTTATAATTCAATGACTGTAGGTTTGGCTAGCCTTTCAACATAGTTGAGAACAGTTTTGATATAGTCAGACTATGAGTGACAAATCAAGGAGAAACATTCTTCAGAGTTGCCTGCTTTTTTACTTCCTACTAAAATAAAGACTTTTGTGTTTTCTCATATTGCTAAATGTCTTCTATAAAAATGTTTTGAGGTCTGGGAAGGTGGCTCAGTGGTAGTGTGCTTGCCTTGCATGCATTAGGCCCTGGGTTCGATTCCTCAGCACCACATAAGCAGAAAAATCCAGAAGTGGTGCTGTGGCTTAAGTGGTAGAGTGCTAGGTTTGAGCTGAAAAGCTGAGGGACAGCACTCAGGCCAAGTTCAGGCCCCACAACTGACAAAAAAAGACAAATGTTTTGAAAATTGATTAAAAGTATATTTGGAGAAATTATTGATTATATCCCTAGTTGGATGCAGATAACATGATAAAATCAAAATGAAATGTAAATGCCTTTTTTTTCTCCAAAGGTTAGGTAGGTACCCTTTACTTTTTGGACCAGAAGTAATTCAGGTTTTGGATTTTTTCCCCTGATTTTGGTATATTTACATAGATGATTCACTGATTTAATAGCCCTAGTCCAAAAATTTGAAATGTGTTGTTGATCAAGTCGTTTTAGATATTCTGGAGCATTTAATTTTTTTTTTCATTAAAGATGCTTAACCTGTAAACAGAATTCAAATAAAGATAAAAGATAACTGATACAAGTAAACTTTTTAAACAGTAAATTGCCTTACAAATCATGTTATGTAGAGTTTGATCAGAACTGTTGTAGTTTGAGAAACTCCCCTCTCCCCCCAGGGTCTTTGAAGATGTTTAAGTGAAACTATATAGGTGTTTAACATGTAGTTAAAACTTAATTTAGTTAAATAAAAAGTCTGAGGTAAAATTCACATATGCTATCTTTTAAAATAAGATCTTGTAGTAATATTATAGTTAAAACTACATTAAAAGAACAGCATAGCCGGGCACCAGTGGCTCATGCCTATAATCCTTGCTACTCAGGAGGCTGAGATCAGAGGATCTCAGTTCAAACCAGCCTGGGCAGAAAAGTCCTTGGGAGACTCTTATCTCCAACGAACCACTCAAAAACTGGAAGTAGGGCTGTGGCTCACTTGATAGAGCACTAACCATGAGTACAAAGAGGCTCTTGGGGACAGTGCCCAGGCCCTGTGAATGTATGCTGGTACTGTCTTGAACTTAAGGCCTGGGTGCTGTCCCAGTTTTTCTGCTCAAGACTGGCACTCTACCAGTGGCCACAGCTTCACTTGTGACTTTGGTGGTTGTGACTTTGGAGATTAGAAACTGATGGACTTTCTTGCCCAGGCTGGTGTTGATCTGAGTAGCTATGATTACAAACATGATCCACTGGCACCCAGCCCATTTGAATTTTTCTATCTAGGGCTCCTGGTCAGTCCTCTCAAGTCTTGACAACTTAGAACCAGATAAAGAAGACCCTTATTTGCCGCTGGTGAGCCAGTTTATTTAGCTGCATTTTAGTTTGAAGCATTAGTAATATTTTTTAGTACTTCTAATTACATAAACATAATTAAATAAATATGAAAAGATTCAACTAATTCTTTACTGTGTATATTCATTATTTGATATACACAGAATACTTAGCTTTGTATCAGCTCAATCTCATTCTTTTTACTGAAGAAATAAAATATATAATGAGCATGTACTATTTAAAAGTTATAACTGCTGAATCCCAAAAGAAATCTGGTGAGCCAAGTACTAAAGAGTTTTAGTTATTTTCAATTAACCTTTTAAAATCAAATAAAAATACAAATTTAACAAAAATTCAAACAACAACCAAAATTGTTTTTACTTAAGGTTTAATAGATAAATGGTGCTTTTCTCCATTTTTCCCCTCAGTGGCTTCTGAAATGTGGCCACCTAAAGAGGCAGCAAGATATAAAAGGTCATATTAGGTACATTACATTTTAGATCTATTTGATCCTTACCAACCTTTTTCTTGTTCTTACCAACCTTTTAATTGACTTTAATTGTATATAGACATTCTTTTAGGTATAGAACTGTTACCTCTCTCAACTATGCTATACTCTGAGCAATTTCTTTGACTTAAGTTGAAAGACATATTTATGGGGCAAACTAAATATAAGTAAACTTAATATAAATCATCGAAAGTATCAGTCTGTTCTAGTTAGAAATAACAGCTATTAGTACCAGGGATTAGTAAGGTTATATTCTTTTATTTTTGTTTTTTATTTTTTTGGGTCCGGTCGTGGGGCCTGAACTCTGGGCCTGGGCACTGTCCCTCAGCTCTTCAGCTTAAGGCTAGCTGCTCTACCTCTTGAGCCACAACGCCACTTCTGGCTTTTTTCTTTTTGCTTATGTGGTGCTGAGGAATTGAACCCAGGGCCTCATGCATGCAAGGCAAGCAAGTGCTCTACCACTGAGCCACCTTCCCAGCCCCAAGGTTATATTCTTTTAGTTTGGTTTGTTGTAGGTGGTAGTGAGGTTTGAACCCAGGTCCTTAAACTGCACTACATCCTCATTCACCACAAGAGTTGAGGGGTGGGATTGTTTTTGGTAGTACTGGAGTTTGAACTCAGAGCCTTGAGCTTGCTAGGCAAGTGCTGTTTAATTACAGTTTGATATTAGAGGTTAAGATTATAGTATTCGTAGAAAAAAAATTTACAAAAAAAATGAATTTGGGAGTACTAATCTTTTTGTTGACTTATTATTTGAACTGCTTTTATGCAAGGTATTTTCTGGTAAGTAGAAGACACTTAATTCTCTTATAGTGGGATCGTTAAAAGAAAAGCATAGCTTTTAATTCCTGTTCCTCACCTCTGTTGATATAAATTGAGCTGTGCCTCACTACTTAAATGGCTTCTATCTCACAGGGGGAATTACTGTTTGAGACCTTTTCAAAGATTAACATAATTGGCTTTATTGAATTTACTATTTCTAGTATTTATCAAGATAGTAGTTTATTACCCTAAAAGCAGAAGCTAACTTTATTCATTATATTTCAGGGTTGGCTAGTCGATCTTCTCAACAAATTTGGCACATTAACTGGGTTCCAGATGTTGCATGATCGTTTTATAAATGGATCAGCATTAAATGTTCAGATTATAGCAGCCCTTATTAAGTAAGTTGTAATTCAAAAATGAATATACACCATACTACAGAAATTTTTTTTCAGAAACTATTTCTTGGTGAAAAACTGAGGCATTCTCTTATTTCATATCTTTTATTTCAGACCATTTGGACAGTGCTATGAGTTTCTAACTCTTCATACAGTGAAAAAATACTTTCTTCCAATAATAGAAATGGTTCCACAATTTTTAGAAAACTTAACTGATGAAGAACTGAAAAAAGAAGCAAAGAATGAAGCCAAAAATGATGCCCTTTCAATGATTATTAAATCCTTAAAGAATTTAGCTTCAAGGGTTCCAGGACAAGAGGAAACTGTAAAAAATCTAGAAATATTTAGGTTAAAAATGATACTTAGGTGAGTTATTTATCTGTGGAAATAATTACATATGTAAATTTTAGGATCATACTTACCACTAAATTTCTCTTATAGATTATTGCAAATTTCTTCTTTCAATGGAAAGATGAATGCACTGAATGAAGTTAATAAGGTGATATCCAGTGTATCATACTATACCCATCGTCATGGTAATCCAGAGGAGGAAGAGTGGCTCACAGCTGAACGAATGGCAGTAAGTCTTTTGGTTGTTTCTTTTTAATAGTGAGAATCTACTTAACACAAAATTTAGAATAACTCTAGCTAAAATTGTTAATATTTTAAATTAAACTCTTGAATTGAAAGGTGTCCTGAGAACTTTATATAATAACACTTTAAAATTTTGTAATGGTGCCATTAGCTTAGCATGTCTTAGATAAACTTAACTCTTAATGTGGTGTTGCAAAATACTTTAATTAACTTGTTGAAGAAGTTTCTATTGAAAGTGATCTGGATCTGGGCGTGAATGAAATGGGTTGTTGTTCATTTACCTAATTCTAATTGAAGGTTTTAAAGCAAGAATGATTACTACTGAAATAAGAGCTACATGAATTACTTGTTTTCTTGACTTTGAGAATTTTATTTTTAAAGCATTAGGTTTATATTATTTTGATCTTGTACATTCATAAAACTATTTACTACTGGGGCTGGGAAGGTGGCTCAGTGGTAGAGCACTTGCCTTGCATGCCTGAGGCCCTGGGTTCGATTCCTCAGCACTACATAAGCAAAAAGAAAAAAGCCGGAAGTGGCGCTGTCCCTCAGCTCTTTAGCTCAAGGCTAGCACTCTACCATTTGAGCCACAGCTCCACTTCCGGCTTTTTTCTTATGTGGTGCTGAGGAATCGAACCCAGGGCCTCGAGCATGCAAGGCAAGTGCTCTACCACTGAGCCACCTTCCCAGCCCCAACTACTGATATTTTATACATTGTAGAAATCATAGAACTTTTTTGTTTTTGTTTTTATTTTTTGGTTAATTGTGGGACTTTGAATTTAAGGCATGGGTGCTATCCCTGGGCTCCTTCACTCAAGGCTAGTACTTTATTACCACTTGAGCCACAGCACCTTTTCTGAGTGGTTGGTTGGAGATAAGAATCTCTTGGACTTCTGCCCAGGCTGCCTTTGAACTGCAACCCTAAGAGCTCAGCCTCCTGATAGCTAGGATTACAGGTGTGAGACACCAGCATGTCCAGCTCCTAGAACTTTTTTTTTTCATGTATACTGTATGACATTCCTGAAGAGACATCCATAGAGGACCTATATCCTTAACCTTTAAGGATCTCTCAGTTAGTAGAAGAAACATTAATTTGAATGAAATAAAAGGTTTTAGAAGGGCTGAGGGCTTAGCATAGCCCTGCATTTTATCTCCAACACCAAGAAGAAAAGTATTTGGAGAATCCTGGTAATGGTCTTTGAACTGTTGCCAGGTTCAGACAGTATAGAAAATGGCATTAAATGAGTAGGAATTTTTAATGTAAAAATGTGGCAATCAATTGGGTTCTGATGGTTCATGCCTGTAATTCTAGCTACTCATGAGGCTGAGATCTGAGGCTCGTGGTTCGAAGCCAGCATTAGCAGGCAAGTCCATGAGACTCTTATTTACAATTAACCAGCAAAAAGCCAGAAGTGGAGCTGTGACTCAAGTAATACAATGCTAGCCTTGAGCAAAAAGACTCAAGGACAGTGCTGAGCCACAAAGTGGCAGTTGCCATTTTTATTATATTTTAGAGCAGTATCTTCGATGGATTAAAATTTTTAAAATCTCATCCTTCATCAGCTGAAAAGTTTACTTCTGTAGCACATTTTAGACCTGACTTTTCCTGGACTTGCTACGCAGATACTCCTAACCATTGAGCCATACCTCCAGCTCTGATGTTTGCTAGTGTCTTGCTTCCTGGTCAAATGCACACGAGATCTGCCCTATATCAGGCAGATTTTGTCTTAACTAAGATACCAGGTGCACAGCTCTTCCTTGAGAAAGGGACTCTCTGAAATTCAGCCTCACAAGAGAGCCTCTGAAGCTCAGCTTCACAAGTGGCTAGGATTGAAGGCATAAGGCACTGGCACCTGGATAGGCCTCAGAAAGTTTTGTACTGGCTGTGTGCTCATGGCTCTCATACCTGTAAACTACTTGGGAGGCTGAGATCTGGGAATTGTCATTTGAAGCCAGCCTTGGCAGAAAAGCCTCTGAGACTCTTTATCTTCGGTTAACAAGCCAAAAGCTGAAAAGACGTATGTATAAAAGCTGAAGTGAAAAGACGTATATATCCTTAAGCAAAAAAGCCAGGAGAAAGCACTAGACCCTGAATTCAAGCTCCAGTACTGGCACAACACTAAATTAGAAAAGAAAGTTTGGTGCAGTGTGGATTACTACCTTTTTGTTGTTTTTCATAATCATAAATTTGTTGTTGTAAGTAAAAGTTGTGAAATTTGTGTAAGGAATCCAAGAATCCTAAAATTGGTCCTGTACCTACCCTGCCTAAACCATACGGATTTTTACACTTGCTTTTCTGAGTAAATACTGCTTTTTTAATTAATATCAATATTTCTAACTTAAGAGCATTTCTGAAAGTGAAAACTTCAATGTCAAATTTTCTTACTATAGCAACACAAGTATACTATATTAATGTATTTGTATTTCCTAAATGTGTTTTAGAATTCCTACTTACATTGTTTAATAGTGTGTACATACAATTTTTTAAAAGCTTCATTGTTTTAGTAGACTGAGTTTGAATTATTTGCTTTTTAAAAAATTCAGGAGTGGATACAGCAGAACAATATATTATCCATAGTTTTGCGAGATAGTCTTCATCAACCACAGTATGTAGAGAAGCTAGAGAAGATTCTTCGTTTTGTCATCAAAGAAAAAGCACTGACCTTGCAAGATCTTGATAATATCTGGGCAGCACAGGTAAGTTAATATGGAAGTTATTTTGTTTCTTAAAAAAAGCTACTAAAACTAAACCAAGTCATCATGAAATGAGATATAGGCCTGTTATTTGATTTTGAAATTAATTTTGTTACATTACAGAAATCCTGTCAGGAAATTTCAAGAAATGTCCAGTAATATATTTTAAGATAAAATATTCTTTATTATTTGTATATTTTATTATTTGTATTTGGGAAAAGTAGTTTGTAGCAAACAAAGTTTTTTTTTTTGGGTCCGGTCGTGGGGCCTGAACTCTGGGCCTGGGCGCTGTCCCTCAGCTCTTCAGCTTAAGGCTAGTGCTCTACCACTTGAGCCACAGCGCCACTTCCGGCTTTTTTCTTTTTGCTTATGTGGTGCTGAGGAATCGAACCCAGGGCCTCAGGCA